GGGGAGGGAGGCTGAGTTTCTGACCTAACTCTGTGCACCAAGGGGAAGAAAGCAACTAGAAGACCCGCCAGCCCTCAGGCCCTGCTTGGGATGCCGCCGGGATTGTGTGCAACCCTCGGTCGGGGTCTCCTGACCTCATTCCGCTAAATTAAAGACACGTATTCTAATGATGATGACGTGGTAGGGAGACTGGACACATGGGACACCCACATGGTGTTCCTCGGGTCCGACGTTCCCCTTCCAGAACCAGGGTGCCACACTGTTCGCGGATCCTTGACTGTCCGCCTGACCTGGAGACTCCGCGCCCCGTATCTTAGCTCCTTACCTAGAGCGGGTCACAGCTGTGGTGCCCTCTGTGCCGCCCGGGGACCATAATGCCCCGTCAGGGGTATTGTGACATCTTCCTGAAAAGCCTCAGGCAGGCCAGCGTGGAGGGGCGTGCCTGCCTGTGAGGACGCGGGGGCCTTTGCGGCATGGTGTTGACACTCAGTATCTTTTAAAGTTTCACCTTTGTCCTAGGACTGCTCTGGGTCACCCTTACCTAAGTGCCACTGGCTTACAATGTCAGAAATCCATCCTTTCCCAGCTCTGGAGATCAGATTCTGAGATCCAGGCGGGGCGGAACCACTGAGATCCGGGCAGGGCAGGACCACTGAGATCCAGGAGGGGCAGGACCGCTGAGACCCAGGCAGGGCAGGGCCACTGAGATCCAGGAGGGGCAGGGCCACTGAGATCCAGGCAGTGCAGGACCCCTGAGATCCAGGCAAGGCAGGACCCCTGAGATCCAGGCAGGACAGGGACCCTGAGATCCAGGTGGGGCAGGACCACAGAGATCCAGGCAGGGCAGGGCCACTGAGATCCAGGAGGGGCAGGACCACTGAGATCCAGGCAGGGCAGGGCCACTGAGATCCAGGCAGGGCAGGGCCACTGAGATCCAGGCAGGGCAGGACTACTGAGATCCAGGTGGGGAAGGACCACTGAGATCCAGGCCAGTCTGAGCCCACTCCCTCCAGAGGCTCCATGGGAGGGTCCTTCCTGCCTCTTCCACTTCTGGGGGGCTCCTGGCGTCCCTGGACTTGAGGCTGTGTCCCTCCCATGACCTCTTCTTGACATCCTTCACCTAATCACAGTGGGGTCCTATTTCAAATGTGGTTCCATTTCCAGGTTCTGGGAGTACCTGCATTTCGGTGGGAGGTCTAGTCTTCGGTTTCCTGTGCACCCTGAGATTTTGTTCTGACCACGTCTCCAATACTCAGAAAATGCCTGGTTGGTGTAGTTTGCCTTGTGACGCCCTGAGCACTTTATGGCGGGTTAAAACGTTGCAGACCTAACAGAGACCTTTCGACAGAACCCAGCTGCCCTTTTGGGCATCTGCACCCTGACTGGCGGCTCCAAGAGGCCAGACTCTGGGGCTTCAGGGACGGCGGGCACCCTGGGGCCTGTCTCCTAGGCCATGAAAACCTCCCCCCCGAGAGCCTGGCGTTGCTGGACCCGTGCACAGCAAATGCATATTTCTGCGCACAGGGGGGCATTTTGAGAAGCTCCCGGAATCACGATGTCCGTTCCTGCCCCCACGATGTTCCCGATCACGGACGTGCCCAAGCTCAAAAGGGAGCGTGCCATGTTCCCAAAGGCGTCGCTTTAAACTGTCAAATTTGGAGGACAAAAAAACAAAAAAAAATTGCTATGCCTGTTAGGCAACGTAAAGGCTCTCCTGTCGAAAGTGAAATCCTGTGTTTGCTTCCTGGACGCCGTGCGCCTCTCGTCCTCGCTCCCAAAACGAGGCTTGAGCAGGCGGTGGTGGTGGGTCCTCCGGGGTCCTTGGGGACGTGGGCTTCCGCACGCAGCGAGCAGTGTCCCCAAGAGTGACCCCTTCCGGCAGGTGCCCGGTTGGCGGATGCGGTAGCACAGGAAACCATAAACCGCCAACGTGAGGAAGGAGCTATGAGGACAGAGAAACCCACAGACGTGCATGTTCTCAGACGCGCGGAGGCGTCCCCGCACGTGGGACTGAGCTGCAGGAAGAGAGCACTCAGCCCAGCTGCGCGAGCGAGCCCCCTCCGCTTTGCCAAAGCCAAGCACGCCCCGGTTGGGTCCCCGTGCCCCGCGGCCTGCAGACCGCGTGCTCGCTCCCTCTTCGCCCGTGCCTGGGTCCCTTCTCACGCTGTGTTTGTCTTCCCGGCTCCCAGCAGGTGCGCAGGAATGAGTGGAGGCCCCACAGGCGGGCCGCGGCACAGAAGCCATGGAGGCGAAGGGCCTGGACCCGTCCCAGACGGACCTCAAGTTAGTGGCCCACCCGCGCGCCAAAAGCAAAGTGTGGAAGTACTTCGGCTTTGACACGAACGCCGAGGGATGCATCCTGCAGTGGAAAAAGATATACTGTCGCATCTGCATGGCTCAGATTGCCTACTCCGGGAACACCTCCAACCTGTCCTACCACCTGGAGAAGAACCACCCCGACGAGTTCTGCGAGTTCGTCAAGAGCAACACGGAGCAGATGCGCGAGGCCTTCGCCACCGCCTTCTCCAAGCTGAAGCCCGAGGCCTCCCAGCTGGCCCCGCAGGACACGCTGGCCGCCAAGGCTGGCCACGGCCATGAGAGCAAGCGGCAGCAGGAGCTCACGGCCGCCGTGCTCGGCCTCATCTGTGAGGGCCTGTACCCCGCCTCCATCGTGGACGAGCCCACCTTCAAGGTGCTGCTGAAGACGGCCGACCCCAGGTACGAGCTGCCCAGCAGGAAGTTCGTGTGCAGCAAGGCCATCCCCGAGAAGTACGGCGCCGTGCGCGAGGCCGTCCTCAAGGAGCTGGGCGACGCCTCCTGGTGCGGCATCTCCACCGACATGTGGAGGAGTGAGAACCAGAACCGGGCGTACGTGACGCTGGCCGCCCACTTCCTGGGCGGCGGGGCCCCCGGCTGCCTGTCCGTGGGCTCCCGCTGCCTGAAGACGTTCGAGGTCCCCGAGGACAACGCGGCCGAGTGCATCACCCGGGTCCTGTACGAGGTCTTCATCGAGTGGGGCATCAGCAGCAAGGTGTTCGGGGCCACCACGGACGGCGGCAAGGACATCGCCAAGGCGTGCTCCCTGCTGGACATCTCGGTCCAGATGCCCTGCCTGGGCCACACGTTCAACGCGGGCATCCAGCGCGCCCTGCAGCTGCCCAAGCTGGCCGGGCTGCTCGGCCGCTGCTGCAAGCTGGTCGAGTACTTCCAGCAGTCCGCGGTGGCCATGTACATGCTCTACGAGAAGCAGAAGCAGCAGAATGTGGCTCCCTGCATGCTGGTCAGCAACCGTGTGTCCTGGTGGGGCAGCACGCTGGCCATGCTCCAGCGCCTGAGGGAGCAGCAGTTCGTCATCGCCGGCGTGCTGGTGGAGGACAGCAACAACCACCACCTGATGCTGGAGGCGGCCGAGTGGGCCACCATCGAGGGCCTGGTGGACCTGCTGCAGCCCTTCAAGCAGGTGGCCGAGATGCTGTCCGCCTCCAAGTACCCCACCATCAGCATGGTGAAGCCCCTGCTGCACATGCTGCTGAACACCACCCTCAACATCAAGGAGACCGACTGCAAGGAGGTCAGCATGGCCAAGGAGGTGATAGCCAAGGAGCTGTCCAAGACCTACCAGGAGACGCCGGAGATCGACATGTTCCTCAACGTGGCCACCTTCCTGGACCCCCGCTACAAGCGTCTGCCCTTCCTGTCTGCCTTCGAGAGGCAGCAGGTGGAGAACAGGGTGGTGGAGGAGGCCAAGGGGCTTCTGGACAAGGTCAAGGAGGGCGGCTACCGGCCAGCGGAGGACAAGATGTTCGCGCTGCCCGAGGAGCCCCCGGTCAAGAAGCTGGTGCTGGCATCCACGCCGCCGCCCACGAGCGTCATCAACAGCATGCTGGCCGAGATCTTCTGCCAGACAGGGGGTGCGGAGGACCAGGAAGAGTGGCACGCGCAGGTGGTCGAGGAGCTGAGCAACTTCAAGTCGCAGAAGGTGCTGGGTCTCAACGAGGACCCGCTCAAGTGGTGGTCCGACCGCCTGGCCCTGTTCCCCGTGCTGCCCAAGGTGCTGCAGAAATATTGGTGCGTGGCGGCTACCCGCGTCTTCCCGGAGCGGCTCTTCGGCTCGTCCGCCAACGTGGTCAGCGCCAAGAGGAACCGCCTGGCCCCCGCACACGTGGACGAGCAGGTCTTCCTGTACGAGAATGCGCGCAGTGGCGCGGAGGCCGAGCCCGAGGACGAGGACGAGGGCGAGTGGGGCCTGAACCATGAGCACATGTTCCCCCTGGGCGACGCCGTGCACGCCGGCTTCTTTGGCATCAGGGACAGCGGCTTCGTATAGATGCCGCGGTGGGGGCGGGGGGGGGG